AATATGGTCCACCAATCCGGTCCATAAATAATCCAAGCCCAATAGGCCCACCAAGGCCCAATACCAAATGGGTCCACAAAAGGTCCTTTAATGGCTCAACTATGGCCTAGTTTTCCAAATTGGGCCCAACCCTCATATGGGCCTTACCCTAAAGCCCATCTAAATATTCTAGTCCACATGATCGCTCTTGGATGACCCATCAGCAGTCCAGTCATCAAAGCCCAAATAAAGGCCCAACTCAGACCCAAGCAAAAATTAGGGTTTTCACATGAAATGATGATTAGGGTTAAGTGTTCTCACTTAACCCATTAAGGACTTAACCCATTAAGTCCATTATTCCACTAAGCCATCACACAATGGAATCGGGATGAGTCACAACTTCGGTCCACTGGTCCAAATGCGGGTCCCAATAGGCCCAAACCAACAAACCCAAAATTAGGGTTTTCTAAACCCTAATTAGGGTTTCTGGCCCAATCACGCGCAAGCCCAGTCCAATAATAAGCAATTGGGCCAACTAGGGTTCACTATGCCAAGCACCACCCACTACCACCTCAGGTAGGGGTGGTCAGTGGCGGCTTACGACGGCGGCCACCACCTCACGGGGTGGTGGTGGGTTTTCCGGCCACATAAACACACATACAACCTCAAAAACACCAAAAGCAGCAAATACACTCAAACACACACTCATACACACACCCACAACCACCTCCCACGGTGGCTGGTGGCGGCGGAGGGTGACGGAAAACAACAATGGGTTGCAGCAAGGTAATGGCCACCATGGTGGGCTGCCATGGTGGTTCCCACGCTTTTCCGGTCGACAGAAACACGTACGCACACAAGTACATCAGCTGGACGCAAGAAACTCACCCAATCACAGCCACCTTCATGGTGGCGCATGGCAGTCGGAGGGGAGGCGTCAACCGCAACCGCTGCTCGATATAGCAATGGCGGTGATAGCTCGGCGACAGCAAGGATGGAGACAAGGAGGCGTACGTTCTCCGGCGGGGAATAATGGCAGCAAAATCGCGATTTGTTCCCTCGGCCTCTTCTGCCCGACGTCCACATTCGTCTCAACGATTTTTCACCCGTTGGCGGCAACTGAGGTAGCGTGGCTGTGGCTCGTGACTCCGACAATGGCTAGGAGGCAGCCGATCGGTCTTAACCAGGCGACGGCTGAGAGGGGAACACAAGGTGGCGACTAACACATTTTAGGGTTAGGGTTTTGGGGAAACGACCTTAAGACGGGAAAGATAGATCACTGGGTGCCAATCCCGTGTTCATTCAAACTTCCATCCAAATATCCAACTTCAGCCCCTCCTCACAATTTTCGTTTCAATCTAAGTCCAAAAGTTACCCTTTAGCCCCTGATTCTATAAATTCCTTTCATTTTAGGTCCAAAACTTACCATTCAGCCCCTGAGCCTCTCAAATCTCTTCAAATTAAGTCCCTATAATTTACCCACTTCTAAAATTGTATCAATTGGCTCCCCAACACCAACACACCGCTAAATATTATTTATTTAAGGATTATTATTTATATTAACCCTTATCTATTTATTTATTTAATATACGAGATGTTACAACTCTCACCCACTAAAATTAGATTTCGTCCTCGAAATCTTCCTCTCCATCCCTTACACGCCCGACAACTTGAACGGCATGGCCACTAGCCCGAGTATAATCCCAACCGTTCAATCCAACAGAGCTATCTCAACCAACCACATGTACATGCAACCACTAAGTTTGCTTTACTCCAAGCTATATTACAACCGATATGTAGTCACACCTCATTTCTGATCTCTGTCGTCTAACACTCACTAACTCCATGTGTGTTGCGGTCCTGCTCAAACCAAACGAACCGACCCTCCAAGGTCTAGAACATCATATGCAAACCATAACCACTATAAAATGAAATCCATCAGGAATCTAAAATCTCAACTCATCTATCCTTTAAACAAATAGGGCCAAACCCAAACTCAAGAGTCTGGTTCGACAGCAAAAGTGGAACCACTCATATCCAATCTCATACTCAACCCATGACCCGTGATCTGTGAATCTACGCGCACACTACTTATCCAATTCCTTCTGATTTGCGACAACCTCTCACCAATTCGAGATATAACGGATCCCGACCATCATGGAGACCCCAGTCTCGCCCCTGGCCTGGCCACCAGGTTCCCAAAGATCCAGTCGTCAAGGCTACCCAAGCCTAATAACTCCTCCATGTCACGCTCTGACTAGTGAATACCACGGGTCCCCGCAGTCTTAAGACACTCCTTCATTGACTCGTGATTACACTATACTCTCTCACTGACTCGTGATTGCTACGACTCCCTGCAGTCTTACATCGCTCACTCGCTCGCCATGGGCTCACCCCATGGTTTTTCCCCGATAAGCCCAAGTGATTACTCCCACCTGGATCCCTCCACTCTCTTATCGCCCCACAATCTCATCATTAAACCATCACCATAATGCGTTCACTAAACTCATGCTACGCGATCCATCATGGACAGGTGCACACACCCACCCAGATTAAGCGTCACTACCCCTAACAACAATCAACGCAACAAAACACTTTCTCTTGATACAATTCGCATTCTTGGACAATCCCCATCCGATGACAATTAGCTGATGGGTTCCCACTGGAACAATAATCACTCGATACTCCACTTGTCGCCTCACAAACCTGAGTCTCAAAATAATCCATCAAAATAGGGCATCATACTCGGATACATCGATACATAATCACAGAATCTCACGCTAGCTTGCCACTACCTCGGATCTTCCGCTTCTACCGCTGCCCCTCCCGGAGTATAGATAACAATCTATACATTGAACTAACAAATCTCAACAATCGAAACTGGACCTCAACGAATCAACCGCCTTGAACTCAACCATTGCAAACCCGCAGAGTCCCTGACCACAATAAGATCCCTAACCACAATAAGATCCCTGACCAACGGCTACCCGCCGGGGACACACTCGTTCTTTCCTGATCACGTACAACAATAAACCCAAGGCTCATATGCCTCGTCTCGCTCTGCACCTTTCCTCGTCCAACAATAAACCCAAGGCTCATATGTCGGTACCGCAGATCCCCATAATCAAATCTTCTAACCACAACTTGAATAGATTGATGATCCTCTCGACAGAATACCCAGTTCTCCCCCACTCAGTGTTCAACCATCACCAATTGACATATCAACAGTCTACTCCATAGACTGTTTCCACCCATTACTCCCAACTTGACTCTTGGAATGTACTACGTAACACTTAATGATCTTCCAAAGAAGGACCAAGCAACTCCACATATCCCGAATCTCATATGGAATCCTCGGAACTTCCCAATGTGACTGTCTCCAGTCACCCAAAATCTCGTCCAGCTGCACATGCAATTCTTCTGACGGTCCTAGAATAGCACTTTCTCTTTTTTTGGAAATAATGGACTATCACACACTTCATTCTCTGAATCCTCAATCATCACCCTACTGCAAGAATCGACATAGCACAGGAGACCTCACTCTCACAGTCGATCTGCTGCATAACCACGAAAGTCATCATCTCGATACACTCCCCTCGTTTTCCCGCAACAGTTGCTGATATACGACTTAACAAGCTCAAACAAGGCATACACGAGCCCTCGCTGGTCACAGTCCCCACTGCCGACTCCTTCCCGATATAGGAATGCAATCCAATGCTCTCATACAACAAAATACTCTTGGTGCCAATATCACAACTACCTGGTGCCCCACAGGGTCTTCTTCCAATCTCTGACATCATAAACTCACTTACCCATCCTCTCAAAATGGGAAATAGGAAAAATATAATCCTCAACATAGAACTTTGACATCGCAGGCCATCGCCCGACCACTCAACTCAGACTACAATTCTCCACTATGCATCATCTCCACCCCTTATTTGAGTCTTGCGACTCTAACTGGCATCTCACCAATCAAAACCCTCGAGATTTAAACTTAGATTTTCCCACCCAGGGCATACTCCATTTAAACTCAACGGACATGGCCCTCTGGCCTCACAATCTCCCATATCCACTTCCAGTCTGGACAATCACAATTGGATAACTGATAAAGGCGAAAACACACTCTGCTACGAATCATGGTACCAGAACCATGTTATTTCTCCTCATCGTGCTACTTAGAACCTCCGGAATTCCCCCTGTTTCGAGTATGGGTCCTCTGCTTTCAGTAGTACGGGCCCATACTACCTGCCACATCTACCCATACTTTCCAAACGGAGCGTCCCAGATTTTATAAGTAACTGCTCAACCTTCTCGATCACCATTTCCAATACACATGCTCGCTCTCTAGAGAATACTTGCTTCTAAACAGCGTACTCCTCGGTCTAGGATTACTCTCTAGGTTCTCACACTTCTCTGCCATCAGCTGCTGAAGAACTCCTTGTGATGCCAGCCATCTACCTCCTGAATATCGTCATATTCACTTAGTAGCTGACTCCCATCATTCAAGAGTTCCACAAAGCACAAAGCAAGCAACATTCGGCATCGAATAACCATCACCTGAAACCACTCTAGCATACCACTTCACTCGCTCTTTTCATAACTCAAGCATCACTGAACTCAGACAATCCTACCTCTCGTGGATCTCTAACTACTTTCTCAGAAGATTCCTCAAATGCTCGTCTAGGTATCTCTCCTAGATTACTACTCTACTCAAGACTCCCTCTAAAAGATTCCTGCTAGGTACTTTTACTCAGCACATTCAGAGCAAATAGCAGACAATATCAATTAATAGCATCCCTAGGCTAAGGCATCATGAATCAGGCAACTCTAGCCCTAATTTCTGAAATACCTAGCCTATCATCTAGCATGCAGCTCTAATATCTCATAAACATCTCATAATACAAATAAATAATGGTATTTTGGAAATCACCGTTCGGGCTCTAGCTGATTGTACACACTGCTCCATCTCGTTTTCTCTTTAAAACTCTTACTCGTTTTAGAAAAATCATTTCTTTTTAGAAAACTTTCTCAATTCCTCAGTTTGAGTCCAGAGATACCCGAGAGCACATCTGAATCCCTCAAACCAAGGCTCTGATACCAACTTGTAACACCATAAATATCAAATTATCAAAAACACATGTTCATAGTTAATTTAATAAAATCCAGATCCTCAGAAACATAACTTCATCTCGTATGTACAATCAAGTCGGCGCCTTCCCGTGATCTTGAGAAGTACCTGAAACACATAACACATAACACGGTAAGCACGAGTGAGTTCCCCAAAATACCACACACATCCCATTAGCCCTCATGGCTATACTCACAATAAGACCCTCCGGTCAATGTGTCTCAGTGGGACCCTCTGGTCCCACAACTCAGATGGACCCTCCGGTCCCTCAACTCGGTAACTCAATTAATTACAGTATACATATCACAACAACAATAAGCAGGATATCTCAACACACAACATATGCACATATAAAATGCATACTATCACATAACTCAAGTAAGCACATAAGATCAATATTTACACAGATTACTATAACAGCATAAGTCACAAAGACAGTATGCACGATAATATATATCACATTATAAACAAACAAGACCCTCCGGTCCATAATGTGCTAAGACCCTCCGGTCTACAATGTACAGTGACCCCCCGGTCAATAATATACTAAGACCCTCCAGTCAATAGTGTAAATACGACCCTCCGGTCATCAACAAGAATAAGACCCTCCGGTCACACACGAATTACAACACAGGTAAGTATAATGAGA